GCTGGCATATCCCCTATCCCCCCCACCTACCGTAGTGCACTTAAAGATCAAAATTGGTACAATGCTATGTTAGATGAATATAATGCTTTGATTGCTAATAATACATGGGATTTAGTACCTCCCTCCCCTAACCAAAATGTTATCTCTGGCAAATGGCTCTTTAGACACAAACTTAGCCCCACAAGTGAACTGTCCAGGTACAAAGATAGATGGGTTGTTCGAGGATTCAATCAGCGTCATGGCATTGATTATGATAAAACATTCAGCCCGGTGGTCAAACCGGCAACCATTCGGATCATTCTCAGCCTGGCCATATCTCGCGGATGGCCAATTCACCAACTGGATGTCAAGAATGCCTTTCTACATGGCGCCCTTACAGAGACGGTGTACACGGCCCAACCATCTGGATTTCAGGACCCTTCCCGACCCCATTATGTGTGCAAATTGAACAAAGCGCTCTACGGACGGAAACAAGCACCGCGGTCTTGGTATCAGCGCTTCACTGGCTTCCTTCTCACACTTGGTTTCCGCGGGTGCAAGAGCGACACCTGCTTGTTCACTTATGGTCAAGGGTCTCAGATGAATTTCCTACTTCTATATGTCGATGACATTATTCTCACAGCTTCCTCGCAGGAGCTTCTGCAGCAGGTTATACAGCGGTTGAAGGGTGAGTTCGCTATGACAGATATGGGGGATCTACGTACACTTTTTCCTTGGGATCAACGTTCAGCGCACCTCTCATGGCTTGTTCTTGACACAGACTCAGTTTCTCTATGATATTCTTGATCGAGCAGGCATGCTCACCTGCAAACCGGTATCCACCCCGGTTGATACACGAGGGAAACTGTCAGCCTCAGGAGGATCACTTGCGCCAGACCCCTCCCTATACCGCTCCATTGTGGGGGCCCTACAGTACCTCACTTTCACTCGTCCTGATATTACCTACGCCGTCCAGTAGCTCTGTCTATTCCTCCATGATCCACGCACGCCTCACGTCACGGCCATGGTCCACATCCGGCTACTGCATATTCCTTGGCGACAATCTCATTTCCTGGTCTTCTAAGCTCCAACTCACCACGTCCAGATCTAGTACCGAGGCAGAATATCGAGCAGTAGCCAATGTCGTAGCCGAAGTCAGCTGTATAGCAATCTTCTCCTAGAACTCCAGTAACCACTCAGTCGCTCCACTCTTGTTTTCTGTGATAATGTGAGAGCCGTCTACCTCTCTGCAAATCCTGTTAAGCATCAGCGCACGAAGCACATCGAGGTTGACATACACTTTGTTAGAGACCGATTGGCTCTCGGACAGGTCCATGTACTCCATGTCCCTTCGTCCCTCCAGTATGCTGATATCTTTACGAAGGGTCTTCCATCCATCATCTTTTCGGAATTTCGGGATTGCTTGGGAGTTCGGCGTTCCTCACCAGTGTCGTTGGGAGCATGTTAAATATATTAAGTACTACCTCCGTCCCAAAAAGATTTATACATTTTGACTAAAGTTGAAATTAAGGGAGGGATAATTTTGTTTGACTTTCCAAAAATACCCTTGATGTGATGGGTAAAAGTAGGATGTGGTGTGTAGATTATTAGAAAAAAGGTATGATATGATAGGTAGGTTTTGAAAAAGTAAGGGGTAAAAGTGGTTTTTTAATAGAAATGGGTAGGAGATTTTGGGACGCAATTTTTTTGAAAGGTGTAAATCTTTTTGGAACGGAGGGAGTATATATTTAGTATCTTTTGTATATAGTAGTTTCCATACATGTATAGTCCTTATCAATTAAGGATTCCTAACATAGTAAATTTCCTAATATATCTTGAAAATCCCTACTATATAATTAGAAATCAACCTAAATAGGACTGAAACATAGAGAAAAGTACCAAAATAGGACTTTCATATTTTTTTCCCGAAATAGGACTGTGCACTGTGGTAATGTGACTTTGCCCTGTTGTAATGTGGCAGTGTACATGTGCAAATTACTATACTTTTTTGGTAATGTATATGACCATGTATGGTAATGTAAGTCTTATTTCGGGAATAAAAACATGGAAGTCCTATTTTGGTATATTTTCAATGTTTTAGTCCTACTTTGGTCTTTCTCCCCTATATAATCTCCTGTATCCCTACACATTATGATTATCGGAATATATCAATTCTTCACCTGCTATTAGAGTAGTATTTGTTTGTTCTAGTGGTTTACTTGATGTTGCGATGCAATTGTATCCTTTTTACTGGGTTAGACATCTTGAAGTTTTTATGTTTGTAGGTACCTATAACCCGACCATCATTGTCTTGGCAGTATGTTTTGTTAATTAACTACTAGTGACTTGTTTTTTTCGTTTTACTTTAGTTGAATATTTTGTTTTTTACTTTT